CAGCCCCCCCCCCCCCCCCCCCCCCCCCCCCCCCCCCCCCCCCCCCCCCCCCCCCCCCCCCCCCCCCCCCCCCCCCCCCCCCCCCCCCCCCCCCCCCCCCCCCCCCAATTGGTAGTCACAGCCGATATATAGGCTGGACAAGTCTTGTAATCATTAAATCGTTGGCTGAATTGCGCTGGTCTGTGTTGTTTCTGTTGTTTCTGTTGTGCGGCGTGATGATGGTACGAGATAAGAGCGGAGTAGGAAGGAGCAGAGGGGCAGTGGTTGGGTATACACTAGCTAGAACAGAAGAGTATAGTATGTCAATTTAAGATTGGAAGCCGGGAGGTATAAAATCAGACAGGGTATGAAAGAAAGTCATGTCGTTCGTTCCCTTTGGTTCGGGTGATCACCGACTTCTGTTGGAACGCGGGATGCCGCGATTGATGGCCTCAGGCAGAGACTTACACGTGAAACCTTCCAATGTTGGAAGTGTCACAGTTATTTCACTATTTTATCTATATATTTCCAATGGAACTTAGCTGACATAGCATAGTATCTTTGCTTGGCTTAAAGGTTATAAAATTTAACGCGTTATATACTCAGCAGTCAGCATATTGTGACAGCGCAACTCCATAGATCTGATGCCCCAAATAGGCTTAGGCGGAGGGAAGCCGCTTCTGCTGCATGCCGATCTAATTTCCGACTGCTCCAGATCTTTGAATGGCCAGACCTTCAGGGCTTTTGGGAGGTATATAAATATTGCCAATTGCCTGATTGACTCACCCATGTTTGGTCTCTAGATCCCCTACCCTCGCTATGCTTTCCACCAGCTCCCGGCTCTTCCGCGCTCGACTATCCCCATGCAGGCAAAAGGTCAACCTCAGTCTGTACAATGGGCGCCTTTCCACACTCGCTCACAATGCCCGTTCTTCAACTCAATTGAATGGCAGCCGATCTCTCGCTGGTGCCTCATCTAATGCCTTGCAACCAACACGAGTCCAAGCCCGACACAGCTCCCAGTTGCAATCGCCTGCAACACAAGCAATCGAGACGGATAGTGCGGAGAAGAACCCAGCCACTCACTACACCCCACCGAAGACAGGCCTGATTGCTTCCCTGCCGAGTTCATGGATACCGTATGCAGAATTGGTGCGGCTGGACAAGCCCACGGGCACATACTACCTGTTCTTCCCAACTCTCTTTTCCACACTCCTCGCTGCGCCAATGGCTGGTGTGGCACCTCTCCATGTCTTGGGCACGACGGCACTGTTCTTTTCCGGTGCGCTGATCATGCGCGGTGCAGGCTGCGCGATCAACGACCTGTGGGATCGAAACCTGGACCCTCACGTCACACGCACCAAGTTCCGACCTATTGCCAGAGGTGCACTCTCACCGAAAAAGGCAATCCTCTTTACAGGCTCACAGTTGGTGGCTGGGTTGGGCGTGCTTCTTTCGTTCCCTACACAGTGCCTGTGGTATGGGATTCCTAGCTTGCCGATCGTGGTGGCCTACCCTCTTGCTAAGCGCGTGACCAACTACCCACAAGCTGTGCTTGGTCTTGCCTTTTCATGGGGAGCTATAATGGGATTCCCAGCGTTGGGGGTAGACCTGCTTGCCAATCATGATGCCTTGATGGCTGCAGGTGCTCTTTATTCCAGTTGTATGGCTTGGACGGTTTTGTACGATATGATTTATGCGCACATGGACATTAAAGACGACGTCAAGGCTGGGATCAAGTCAATTGCCCTCCGCCATGAGCACAACACCAAGGCTGTCCTGAGTGGTCTGGCGGTGACTCAGGTCTCACTCCTCGCGGCTGCAGGAGTTGCCGCCGGTTGCGGACCTGTTTTCTTCGTCGGCAGCTGCGGCAGCGCCGTTGCGTCGCTTGGTCTCATGATCTGGAGGGTTCAGTTGAAGAGTGTCCCGAACTGCTGGTGGTGGTTCAAGAACGGATGTCTGCTGACCGGTGGAGGAATATCCTTGGGCTTGCTCGCCGAGTACGCGACGCAGTACCTTGGTTTGTACAATACGACGGAGCCGGAGCGCGTGATGGCCGAGTCAACGCAATAAGCATGTAACAATATGTATATATAGACATCCAGGGCTTGGTTCCCTTTTTCACGAGTTCTGCACCAATCCTGCGTAGTTTTGGATGACAGTGACAATATCTCTCCAGTCCATCATATTTCCGGTACTGACATCTAGGCTGTTCTCCGCGGGAGGCAGCAAAGTCACCCAGCCTTCCGGGTTTGATTCACTCCATCCCCACTGATCACGTAGGACTTTAAACTGTTTTTCAGTCACTGGATGTCGGTACATACATCTGTCCATATCCAAGGCTGCAAAGATCCTAGGTTTCTGGCTTTTGAATCCCATATCCACTACTCCAGTCGTGTCCCAGGCCCTAATGACCGAAAGAAGCAAGTTGTCGGCGATCCCATTGGCCATTTTCGCCATGGTATTTGCAGACATTGGGGCGACCAGTAGAATATGCGCCCCTATTATGATGTCAGTTCATCGTGGTATCACGTATCATTCATCTACATAGCCATTGACATTTGCGCAGCTCAATATGCAGCACTGGTCCTCCGCGTGTCCACGACGGAGACCATTCATCTTCGTCCCGGTAGATAGCGTCCACACCATCTATTTGAAGCAGAGTTTCGAAAGCCGGCTGCTCCAAGATTTGTCCGACGAGGAACTTCTCCGCTGGCTCGGTGACTAGGATACGGATTGAGAAGTTCTTATTACGACATAGCGCCTCTGCAATGTCAGGCAGCTTGATAGTAGCGGCTGCCAGTAGCACATGGATCTTCTTGTCATTTGCATACTGCTGGGCGATAAAAGGCGTCGGGGATGTTCGAGAATCCATTGTAGTAACTTTAATTAAACGGGCAGAAAAGAGAGAATGACTGGTCCATAGAGCCCTAGAGAGCTTTAGATGTGTGGGGGTCGGCGGACCAACCGCGGATTAAATAATACTAAACCTTTCCCCGAGGCAACTTGACGAACCTCTTCTCTTGTAAACCACCATCATTATCAAAATGTTTTCCAGAGCAGTTGCATCGGTATGAACTGTTCTTTATTCTCGACATCCGCCATTCGCATCCCCCAGCTAACATGAATCTCGCAGGCTTTCCGCCCGGTCTCGCGGCCAACCTTTTTGCGGCCCGTCCGCTCCGCCATCCGATTCCCCTCGGGCCCTGCCATTCCCTCCGTCCTCCATGCACGCCTTCTGTCCAACGAGACCCGGACGGCGATCGATAAGGCGGTCTCTTCCGCCCCCGTCGTGCTGTTTATGAAGGGTACACCCGAGACTCCGCAGTGTGGTTTCTCCCGCGCCACCATTCAAATCCTGGGTCTGCAGGGTGTTGATCCTAAGAAGTTTGTTGCTTTCAACGTGCTGGAGGATGCAGAGCTGCGCTCAGGTGTGTTGGGATTACCCCGAACTTCCTGCCGGCTATAGATTGCTAATCGTGCTGCATTTACAGGTGTCAAGGAATACTCTGAGTGGCCCACTATTCCCCAGCTATACGTCGAGAAGGAGTTCATCGGTGGATGTGATATCCTAATGTCCATGCACCAAAATGGTGAGCTTGCTAAACTTTTGGAGACCAAGGGCGTTCTGGTTGCGGCGGATGAATAAATAACAGCCGGGCCCGAGTGGAAGATGTCAGCCTATCAATTTGGTAGATGGCTGTCTTTGTAAAATTATTTGTCTCTAATTTATTTTGGTCCTAATATCCTGCTGGTCAGATAGTTGTTTTATTGATTTGGCAAATGGAAGGTAATCTCCAATCTGTCTGCTCCAGTAGACCAATTGTCACAAGCCGCCATGCAAACGACGAGGTGGACTCTTGTTCAAGAAGTAACCCCAGTTGATGGGGTTTAACATCATATGTAGTTGATCTTCATTACATGATTAGTATTTCTCTTAAATCGACAGCCAGCCTAATGAGCTGCTTGAGCTGCTTCGGCTGCCTCTTGTGCTTTCACCAGGTCTTCGGCAATGGCTTTGTCCAGCTTTGCGCGTTGCCTGGCTTCGTAAGCTTCACGGCTCTTCAGGATCCGACCAACAATTTCGCCAGCGTTCACGTGTTGGAAGGCATGCTGCTCGGCTTCCCGGAAGATTCCCATCTTCTTGGGAGCAGTGTATGGATCGTATGTTAGCGGGATGAAGGTCGTGGGTCCATGGTAGACAGCATCGGGAGTGCCCCACGGGATGGCCTTCAGATATGGTTCGGTAGGGGTAAATGGTGCAGAGAAGATGACGGCATTGATGTACTGTGGCGAGGGTTAGCAAATCGAACAGACGAGAGGAAATTAAGAAAGACTTACGCGGCATTGAAGAACACATAGGCCACGTTCGAAGATGTTCATGATTGGGTAGTTCAAGCCTTTCCAGTGGTTGATCACATCGTCATCGTGGATACCTGCGACAATGTAGGACGGTGCATAGTCCTCTCCGTAGTCCTTCAGTCTCTTTTCAACTTGATCTGGCTCATACCAGCCATTTTTTCGGCCCTCGGACTCCTCGAGCTCCGTGACTTTGCGCAGGAACGCAATGTGACCGGAGGAAAAAAGGTCGAACCCTCCGTCAACATAAACCACCCTCTGCCCAGGTTTGGGTCCCTTTCCGTCGACTAATTTCTCGAATACACCAGCTTCCTGAACGACGTGGTCCATCTTCGCGGTGCCTGAGCCAGTCCATGTCCACACCTGAGGCCCAGGCTGAAGACCACTCTCGTCCGTTGCGTAATCCTTGATTCTCTGCAAAAGATCTTTGGCGGAAGCCTGACGCTCTTCGGGACTTCCATATCCTTCTAGTCCAGCAAGTGTACCCTTCACAGATTTGACAAAGTGGTTCCTGGTGCACAACAGCATGCGGCCAACAAGATCGGTTGTCGAGATGCCTGGGGTACGTTTGACGACACGGAAGCGCCCAGCGGCTTTGACGAAGCGGTAACAGTCATTTCCATCACTGTCGGAAGTAATGTCGTCTCCGTGTACGACGTATTTGCACCCGTAGTGGGATACCCAGGGTAGGTAGGTCACATAGGGGGCATAGGGAACACTCTGAGTTGCCCATCGACACGCGTCAACGGCTGCGACACTAAATAACAACGACATTAGGACCAGGAATCAACAACAGTACCAGCATGAGACCAAACCGACCGTTCTTCCAGTGACATCACTGTCGGGCCCTTGTTCTCGAGGATAGCTTCATCGGAGTGTATTCCCACGTAAAGGGCCTTTCCCAGCTGGCGAGCTTGGAGCATAGCACCGGCATGACCTGTACAACAATCCATCAATTAGTTCACAGCAATTTACCAGGTGTTAATTGCCAACCTACCGTGGTGGCTGAAGTCGAAGCATCCATCGACCCAAAGTCGGTCCTCCGAGATTGGTACATCTTCCTGGGGGTCAACAGGCCATTGTCCAGGCAGAGGAACCTGCTCCTCGAGGGGTGTTGAGTCCATTTTCACAACAGTACTCCGTAACAATTTCAAAATTGTTCCAAAGTCTAGACTGTCCAGGAGGTGGGGAGGGGGGATCGACGATAAATTACATACAATATAGGGGGTACGGTCACAGTAATCTTCCGCATTGCGGGGAACTTTATGTTTCTCCGAGTCTCCTGAGTCGCAATCACCTTCAAACAGAACATATCAGGTCTTGCCATACTCCCCGAACAGTCTATTCGGTGTCGTGCTCTCCTGGGCTCTCGTCCTCTCTGACAGCTCAGCTTGTCCAGCTATAGACCCCTCATCTGCGTCGCATCGTTTATTTCACTCCGAAATTGACAACACCAATGATTCCCTCTACATTCGCCCCGAGCATCACGCGGCGAGACACAACCAAATCCGGCGTTGGACTTGAAACGGCATATGGCATCCCACCTCCAGTTATGAGCGGAGGGGGCTCTCTTGGCCCGCAAAGTGCAGGCGCAATCTATCAACACATCCATGAAATGGCCTCGAAACGGATAGCGACTCTCGACTACCTGAGAAAGGCGTAAGTAGATCGCAGTTCAGCCACACCTGAGCTGTGCTAATTCATACCGCGGTGTCTATAGTCATGAAGGACGAGTCTATTGGTTTAATACTGTGCATTTCTCCCGGGCTGACATCGCTCGTCTGCCATACTTTGAAGCCCGGAAACTGTCTCGCCGCGCAATCAATTATTTGCTTCTAGGCTTGTCATTGCCCACAATACTCGATGTTAACACCACCCCGTTCGAGTATGTGCGTGCCCTGAATGCTTTATTGCTGGAATTCGAAGCGTTCCAGCAAGTGCATCCCCCAGAAGGCAGCTCCTCGTCAAGTCTTGCAAGGGCCCGTATACCACAAATGTTCAAGCGGGCGGCGCATGGAGGTACCAAGACCCGACGCGCCAGCTCGGCAAACGAGATCGGACTCCCAATGCAGTCCAGTGACCCATCAGACTTGAAGAACACAGCAGGGAATCTTGGGTCGGCTGCCTCTGCCTCGGTCACCTCCTTTCCACTCACAGAGTCTTCGGATCTTCACCCTGGCGAGGAATACACTTATCTTCTTACGCCATCGTTGCCATTCGAGCCAGACTTCTTTGAGACGTTTGCAACGCTGTGTGATGTCTTAATTGACACTTATAGCCGGCTATGTGCTCTAGTAGCATCTCCATCTGTATGTACAGTGGCCCTGGGCGAGATATTTTCCAAAGCAGATGCCCGGTTACGAAAGATTATGGTGGCCGGCGCAGTGCGTGAGTTCGAAGACGCGAGCCGAAACAGTGTCAAGAGTGAAATTGCCGGGGTCAGTCGGGTGGTGCTTGGTGGTTTATTGGGATAGCAGCAAGGTTTTGCTGCTGTATAATTGGGTCTGGTGTCGGTGGTCAGTTTTGACTGGACACATGTTTGGGTTTCTTATGAGACATGAATTTATCGAGTTGAATGTTATATGATAATAGAATTTCAGATCTAAATTTGAGAGCTTCTAGCTTCTAATAATACATATGTTCCGCCTTCTTCAGTACAAAAAGTAGGATATGAAAAACACTCACTCAAAATAACTTAATGGGACTTTTTTTTGGAAATGCGGCTTCGTGAGGCAAAAGGTGGTATTCATGGGCAGCTTGAAAAGAGTCGAGAATTGAAAAAAGAGACAGGTTAAGACGAAAAACTCCACTTGGCGCCACATGCTCGAATATGCAAAATAGACACCGAAAATATGCTGTCGCTTGATGTTGAATGCTGAGGAGAAAAAACAAGGGATATGCTGTTGGAAAGAGGTCGCGGAAGTATGTCAAACGTATGAGACATTCATGATTGTAGGCGCTGCTTTTCAAGTTCGCGCTGTTCGCCGAAGACGCGGCGGCTCATCTCGAGGACGGTTTCAAATCCTTCGCGGCCAATCTTTGCATTTTCCCGGAAGCGATCAACGCTTGCCTCCTCAACCTTGTTCTTGATCTTTTGCCATCCACCGCAGAGAGCGGTGATTTTAGCTTCTTGGCTAAATTCGGTCGTGGTAGCCGGGCTAAGCGAGGATTGCCGGTAGATAACGGTCTCGCGGACGCTGAGGACGTTCGACCACGTCAGATTTGTGGAGCACATGGTCACCTTCTTCGCGACCGGATCGACATAAGAGACTTCGTAAACGTGAGAGGTATTCGTTCCACCGAGAATCGAGAGAACCCATTGTGGCACAGACTGATCGCACGTGATAAGACGTTCGGTCCGTAACTAAGAGGCAAAAGTCAGTAAAAAGGTTCGGGATATTTGGAGAGTTCTTTGAGGTTGAATGACTCACAATACCAGTCGCCGGATCGACGGTTCGAGAGAGCGTGTCTACGCCAACGACGTGTGTCGACTTATCATTCCAAGGACAGTACTTGCGCCAGTTCGCCGTTGATACTTCGTCCCACGAGTAGTCGAACGTGCATCCGGAAGAGAAGACCTTCATATTGCCGAGTCGCAGTTCACTTGAACGATGCCGTTGGGTCGCGTGATCTTGGAATATGGTATTTGGGTGTAGGACAGCCTTGACAAGCGCTGTGATGGATAGAATCGGATGGTAGTGTTAATAAATCCGAGTAGATATAGTAAGAATGATTCAAGCCGGGTGTGAGAGATAGGATGTGCAGGAGTTGCAGAAAGTGATTTAAGTCTAAGTCTAGGAATTGGAAGGCAAATATGAGCAAGTCAAATAGAAGAAAATGGAGAAGAGTGGATTTTAACGATCGACCGGTCTGAGGGGAAAATCCTTCTTTTTTCCCTCCGGGTCAGGGCCGGTCAACGCGGAGCGCCACACGCCTCGCCGCCACCGGGTTTTTCCGGTTCCTGCTTATCTAATCAGCGGCGCAGCCGCACCGGGCAGATATGCAGCTGAGATGTTCCAGAACGTCCAATTAACTCTATTCAATACATATTCGTCGATTCGGGTCTTTATATCTTCTCCTTTTCTATACATCATGGTCGAACTCAGGAAACGCAAGGCGCCAGCCCCACTGCCCGTCGCAGAGAAGAAGACCAAACAAGCCCCTAAGCCCAAACAAGAGGCAGCTGTTCCCGATAATGATACCGAAAAAAGCCCTGGGCCAAAACTCCCTGAGGTGGATGATACAATCGACATAGAAACTTTCGGTGGCGAGTTTGAGACCAATGAGGCTGAAAAAACAACTCTGAAGAAGCTCCTCGAGGAGAGCAAGACCGGCGTGGTTTTCTTTACTTACCCCAAAGCCTCAACACCTGGCTGTAAGTCCCTGTGTCATACTTAGTGCTTCTCGTGAGAGGGCAGAGCTGTGTTCATGTCGTACTTTGTAATCATCTTACTCCAGCAGACTGCTTACGCCGCTTCATCTAGGTACCAAGCAAGCTTGCTTGTTCCGTGACAACTACACCCACTTGACTTCTACTGGTCTTTCTATCTACGGTCTTTCAAGTGATTCCCCCAAGGCCAACACCACGTTCAAGACAAGACAAAACCTACCTTATCCACTCTTGTGTGACCCCAAGGCTTCTCTTATTGCAGCCATTGGGCTCAAGAAAAACCCCAAGGGTACCATGCGAGGTGTCTTTGCCGTGGATAAGAAGGGTAAGGTCTTGCTTCGCGAGGCCGGTGGTCCAGATGCGACTGTGGACGCTGTCCAGAGGATTGTTGCCAACTGGTCTAGCGTGGAAGATACCAAGGCAAACGGTGAAGATACCAAGGAGAAAGGTGAAGATACCAAGGAGGAAGGTGAAGACACCAAGGAGAAAGGTGAAGGTACCAAGGAGGAAGGTGATAAAGCAGAGTGATTCAACTCGAGTGATGTCGTCACAATCACACAAAAAGCGACACTAAGATACCAGATATTGCATGTATGGCACCGTCTATGGTGGTTTATTTGTCTCGGTGTACGTGTTTGGCGTAGATTATTAGGGCTGTCAGGTTGTTTTTGAATTGCTGTGGATTCCAATCTATTCAGTCTGAGATACTGGTACAGCACACATGATTTCTTGCAACTTCCCCTATCCACTGACGATGACACCTCCGTTGGGGTGCAAACATTGTCCGGAAATATAGCTGCTGTCCTGGCTTGCGAGGAAAACGAAGCACGTTGCGACCTCGCTAGGTTGTCCTGGTCGACCAATCGGCACTGCATGGAATTGTTCCATGGCCTCGGTTTGCATTGTCGCAGGAATCAGGGGCGTCCAGACTTGTCTTATTAGCATTTGACTTGGAATAGATATAGGAAGGACCTACTTGGACCCGGGCAGACACAATTGACCCGAATGCCTTTCTTCACCTGCTGGTTCGACAAGGCGCGGGTAAATGCGACAATTGCTCCTTTGCTGGAGGTGTAATCCAGGAGATCCGCTCGGCCAATGTAAGGATTGACGGATGCGCAATTGATGATGGTAGCTCCCCGCTTCATATGCGGAAGAACATACTTGGAAAGATAATAGAAGGGGTGAATATTGGTGTCAAAGGTGGTCTGCCACTGGTCTCTGATGGTTCATTAGTAGGATGCAACAGCCGAAGAGCAGTAATATGGGGCAACTCACTCAGTGACCTCGCTGATATCGCTCAGCATGTTTTGGAACCCGGCATTGTTCACCAGAATGTCAATGCCACCCATCTTTTCCAGGGCCTCGTTGATGATCTTTTGACAGTTTTCCTTCTTGCGAACGTCGATAGCGAGAGTATAGCACTTCTGTCCACATTCCTCGACTCTCCTCTTTGTCTCTTGCGCATCCGACTCCTCAGCTGGCAGGTAAACGATGAAGCTTGAGGCACCCTCCATTGCAAATAGGATTGCAACTGCCCGGCCAATGCCGGAGTCACCGCCGGTGATGATTGCTCTCTTTCCTTCGAGCTTTCCAGCGGCCTTGTAGGTCTGGTAACCGCCATCCTCGGTAGGAAGATGAGCAGACACAGGCTTAGGATCTCCCATGTCAGACTGCAGACCCGGCCTTGTCAAGTGCTGAATAGGAATCTTGTGACCTATATGAAGCACTGTGTCAGGAATCAATACTTCACATAAATCACACGTACTCACCTGGCGCAAATTGGGACTTAGCCCCACTGGCCTCTCGCTCGATATACTGGGCAACAGGCATATTGGAAGGTTTAGGCAAGAATATGAACAAGAGTAATAGATAACTTATGTAAATTTGTGAATAGAGTACACATCTCCATGCAGGAAAGCACCGTTTAAGTAAAGAAAATGATATATGGCCACCAATAACTAAAGCCGGGCATATCAATGTCACTATGATGGCCTGCTTACACCCCGTTTGCTCCAAATTTTGCCTATACTGGGGCGATATATAACTTAGATGTTATGATACAACCAGAGCATCTCTGTTCTAGACCTTTTCTGTGGCGGTGGTTTAATCGATCATGTTAAACTATTCGATCCTTCAGTCGTAGCCACAAGTTTCCCATCCCAGGGACGACCTGCATGTCCAATCGGGCAAAGTGTTTAATACCTAAATGACACTTCTCTATCCCATTCTTGATATTCCTGAGCTGCTATGTTTGTGGTCGAGGTTAGGCAGGTGCGAATGACGGAGACTTGCCGTCATTCCTACCTACCATGCTTAGTTGGTGGCGCTCTTCACCTAGGGAGCTCGATAACAACAAGCCCTACTGTTTCATATAGGAATAACATAGCATATTTCTCCTTTTTGTTCGTCGGGAGAAAGCAAAGAAAGATCATGGGAAAATATTGAGTTCTATACATACACCTATAAATGCTTGAGCAGGTATATGAGTTGTTTCAAGCGGATTTAGCGCAAGAATTGACGTCTTGGTATGCCCTTCAAATATTAATTGGTTCCACTATAAGGAAGCCATAGTAAATCAGTATGGAGAATGGTAGCAGGTTTTCTATTGTAGTTGTCCTCATGTTGTAGTCGAAATATACTGGAAATCCTTATCTTATCAACCAGCAACATGATTGGCTCGTGGGCGTCCGCCCGGCGATAATTTTTTCTATTGCGCTTTCCGCTTCTCGAGACTCTTGGTGTTCTAAGAAATTGCCTGGCTCTTTTCACAATGGCGAAAGGGCAACCCAAATCCAAGTCCGTGTCGGCTAATACCGCCAAAATCCCTGAGCAGATGGCTCTTTCGTCCGCTCTGTCCTCTCCATGGGGGTTCCTCCGTCCTACAAACGATTTACATACAGCCGTCGTGGATTCTGCAAAGCACATCCTGGACTCCCTCGCTGGTTCTGTCGTGGATGCCCAGACAACTCGCCGGCAACTCAATAAAAAGCGCAAAAGGTCAGACCTCGAATCGGATTCAGTCACACAGCTCCAATTGAAGAACCTCTACGTGGAGGGTTTCACCTCGAATCAAATATGGGAGCAAGCAACACGAATTCTCGAGTCGACTGGTGACGAGATCGAGCGCGATATCACTTTGATTACTCAACATAGCGGCTACATGGAGTCGGCTGGCTCCGAGCAGCTCGAGGATATCTCTGACCCCGAGGGTGCGCAAAGCGACAGCGACAGCCACGAGAGCATGCTTGAAGATCTCTCTGAGGGCTCAGGTGCCGAAGACGATCTCGACGAAGAATCTGGCGAAGAGCAAGAGATCGATATGGGATCTGACGATGACATGGAAGACATTGAAGATATGGACGATGATAACTCCTCAGTTGGCTCCGCCGAAGGAGAGCCCGAAGTATTTGTCGAGGATCGATTTGGATTAAACGACGGGTTCTTCTCTATCGACGACTTCAACAAGCAATCCGAGGCTTTGGAGAGACAGGATGCCGCAGGAGGACCCGAGCAGACCGAGGACAGCGACGAGGAGGATCTCGACTGGCATTCGAATCCGTTGATGGCTGGAAATTCTGCGACCATCAGTAAATCGAAGGATTCGCGCCCAACAGAAAAAGAAGACGAAAGCATGGATGATAGTGAGGAGGAAGGGCCGACTTTCGGTAATGCCGATCTCAACGGCGACTCCGATTCTGATGATGAAGACGTCGCGGACATGGACGACGGTGAAGCCGCTGCCTGGGTAAACACCAGTGATATCAAATACGCCGATTTCTTCGCACCTCCACCCCGCAAAGCCTCCAACAAGAAACACCGCGCCCTCCCAAAAACTCAACCCGACGCACCAGAGGTCGATGAGAGCGATGTCAAACGCGCTATTGACGACGTTCGACGGGACTTGTTTGACGATGCCGATGCGGGCTCCGACGAAGAAGAGGACGATATTGACGGATCAGCGGACCCTAGTGCCCCACGCTCAACACATGAGAAGCAGAGAGCACGGATCGCAGATGAAATCCGCCGTCTGGAGGCGGCGAACGTGGCCAAGAAAGAATGGATGTATACTGGTGAGGCCAGAGCTGTCGAGCGACCCATCAATTCTCTCATTGAAGAAGACCTTGACTTTGAACGAATCGGAAAACCGGTTCCCGTCAATACCAATGAGACCACCGAGGATATCGAAGAACTAATCAAGCGCCGAATTCTCGCCATGGAGTTCGATGAAGTCGTCCGCCGTCGGCCAGGCGCCGAGGGCCAGCAAGCCGGAAGGAAACCCCGCTTCGAACTGGATGATACGAAGCCACAGCAAGGTCTGGCCGAGATGTATGAAACTGACCATCTTCGCGCTAATGATCCCAACTTTGTGGATACTAAGGACCGCAAGTTGATGCGGGAACATGCCGAGATCACCAGTCTTTGGAACGAAGTCAGCGCTCAATTGGATACGCTATGCAACTGGCACTATAAGCCTAAGGTTGCCCAAGCAAGCATCAACGTCGTGACCGATGCGCCAACGATTATGATGGAGGAGGCACGCCCAACGGCTGGCAGTGCTGCCGGTGGCCCTGTTGGACTTGCACCGCAGGAGATCTACACACCTGGCGATAATGGCCGAGTTAAGGGAGAGGTGGTTCTTAAGACTGGCGCGCCTATCTCCAAGGAGGAGATGACCCGTGAGCAGAAGGCCAAGAACAGACGCCAGAATAAGCAAACCCAAAAGAAGGCCGATGCTGCCAAACCCACTCAAGAAAAGCCTGGCAAGGCAGCCGAGAAGCAGCAGATGATTTCAGACCTCAAGAAGGGAGGAGTCAAGGTCATTGGCAAGGACGGCCGTATGACGAATATCGAGGGTGGCTCTGTCCACGAGGGCGCCAAAAACAGAGGCGACAATCTGAAATTGTGAGGAGTATATTTAAGGGCCAGTATGTACTATTCAGGAGTCATATTTCTTCTACATAAAATCTATTTTCTAGCATTGCACATATCATCATTTTGTGTCACTTTTCTGGTCGATACGTTTGGCACGTATCGTGTAGAGAAATATGTTCTCTCTATTATAGCTTTCAGCACCAGGATCATCCCGGACTGGCTCCATGTCGAAAGCCCTTTTCGCCATCTTCATGAACCGCATGTCGGCGCGTCTACGACGCTTGTAACAAAAGTAACAGACCGAGTCAGGTCCCAGGAGGTGCTGAAGCGTAGTGATCAAGAGCGGGAAAGCCGGCTCAAAATAGACACAGTCTGCCGCGATGATGACATCTGGTTTCTCAGGAATCTGGTTTGGGATCGGTTCTCCCCAGTTTAGTATCGCAGCTGTCGCATTCGGGCCAAGATTGTTAAGTTGAATGTTGGACTTCATTAGGGAAAACATAGGCTCTTGGTCTGTGATATAGATCGGGTGCTCGAGACGACACGCACGTGCCACGGCGAGTCCGACAAGTCCACCTCCAGCGCCGAGTTCCACGCTATTCAAGATTGGATTAGGACGAAACGAGCGAAGAAGAGTGAATGGAAAGAATGCTCCCGGCCGGTTGGGCACACAGCAAAGCAAAGCAGCACCCACATTGTTTTATCGGATAGATCGGTGATATGGCGGCTGAGGAGGTATTTGGCCAGGACCATTCCTGCGGGCCATAGTTGGCCGCCGCAGCCGTCTTTCAGGTCTTCTTTTAGTAGCAATGGTTCTTTGAGGAGTCCGTCGAAGGAAATGTCTGTGGTCACTGCGGCTTTGGGTTCGCGGGGAGGGGCCAGGGATTCGCTGATTTTGAGTCCGTCTGGGCTTGAGGGTGGGCTCAGTTCTGGAAGACCCAGAAGAGTTGGTATGGGTATTTCTATCATTGTGAGAAATTTGTGAATTGTTGACTGTTGATCGGAGAAAGTTTTAGTGGGGGATCTGTACGGAGTAGCTTATCGCGAATTAGACCTAGAAGGATCACCTGATTGGTTGAGTGGCGATTTGGCTATTAATTTAGATCGAATATAAGAAATTGATCAGAAGAATGGAATTGTATTTTTTTGTTTTTGTGTGCAGGTTTATATCGTCTATCATATGCATTGTATATGCACCGGATCCAGCCAAGACAAGCTTATGCCCGTGCGAACGTCGATCTATATCATATCGATACTTATGTTGTATGTTCTTATTGACATGCTAGGACATTGAGGGCTAAGTGACTTTTAAGATATAGGAATTGTGTATATCAATATATGCGCATATATAAACAAAGGTACCATAGTTATGAAGCTTGCGTGGGGACTCTTATTGGAACTTGGCGATCCATGTGGGTTTTATTAATATCTCGTTAACCTTGAAATATGGATCTACATCTACCTTCCAGAGGACAGTATTGTGATACCCCTCATAACGTTGCATCCATGCTTTGAACCTACTTTAGTCTTATAAAAGCTAAGTCTAGCGCATGTGTAACGGCAGTATGAAGTAAAATTGGACACATCGATGTCATATTTGTGTAAATTTACATGCATTAACTAGTTAAGCGCAAGCTTGACAAGTACATATGATCACAGCCACTTTGTTACATGGTCTGTGATCTCACAATCTCGTATCATTTACTCGAACGGGTGAGTACGTGTTCCCCACCAGGTGAGGAACAAACTGAGTCCAACAGTCTCGAACACCCTCGAGACCGCACCGACAGCGACTGTATCAAGAGGTCGCTTCTCAGAGAAGAGCTGGCTCACAATCTGTATATATATGTCAGATGAATTGCTTGGGGTTTCAAGGCAGGATGAATTGAAAACGTACGCCTGGAGCGGAGCTTGCGAAGAAAATAAGGGAGCCAAGGTACGCAGCACCCTTGTAGCTC